AGACCTGCCCTCGTGGCTGATTAAAGCTTCCGTCAAGTGTTTGAGTGCCCATTCATATCTCTCTACCATGGAAAATAATCGCAAAAAGGGCAATTTCATGTTAGACGAGTACTGCTCATTCTAGTCGAGGCTGGTTTAATGTCTTTGATATCTGTCCTACTGCGTTCACCGCCTTTGAGTCAGGTACTGGTTTTCGTAGGTTTCTCATTAGATGTATCATGAGATTTTACGAGTAAGCCTTAGCGACCCGTTTGTACTGAAGTTCAGTGGACTTTCACTAATAATTCGTGATCTGATTTGTCAGTTCAGCGTAATCAGTGGGTAATTTTGAGTCTCCAGGAAGAACAGTAGAAAATAGCCTAAGGGATCCGAATGTCCTGAAATATGGTTAGTTGAAAAGCGGCATACCACCCTCTGTTCCACAGTTGTCGTGACAACATGGAAAGACCATGCACGGAAGGTTCGACTCTCCGAAAACTAGTCAAACAGTTTTTTTGGCATCGGCGCAGTACAGTTTGCTCACCATCCGTTAAAGCAACAATCTGTAATTTTCAAACCGACCATCATTTAACCCCTAATTGAACAGTAACCTTTAACCTTATCTGTGGGTCATCGACTCGGATTACCGGCTCTGGTGAAGAGGAAAACGTGGAAACGTCGGCCGAATAAATATCTTTGTCAACTTTATGTTAGCTCAACAATCCAAGAAGGTGTTATCCATCATTGATAAACATTGATTTTAAATTGACTATTTTGAATGTTGTAACATCGTGTTTACTTATTTGGTACTTTGTACTTGAATGGTCCGTGCTCACTGGTGCGAGCCACAGCATAATCTCCATTTTTCGGAGATTTACTAGTTATGACATTGTGGTTCCCTGGAATCCCGGGGATAGCCTGGCCAAAGTCTGTCCCAGGTTTTCACCACCACAGGCAGTCGCAGCCCTTGTGGATCGGAGAGAGATTTGCCATCATACGACTTTGATGCCAAGGTGGTGGTGGATCCTGGTGGTATTGGTTTACTTTTAGCTAGGCTTCCTGATGGAAACGCCGGACTCCTCAGCTTGGGAGACCCCGCCAGGGGATGAATCCCCCGTTGTACATCGCAGTCCGACATTCAGGAACACCTCCCAGCCATGATGAGGCGGTAAATCGTTGGGAGGAACATCTTGTTTAGGCGTGAAAAATCGATTGCATTGTGTGGCGACCACTTCTAGGTCATCTTATGCGAGTAAAGTTCTCTTTTCTCTGTCGAGGTTTAGTTTAGAAACTGCAACCTCAACAACGTGCTTTTGTAAGGCCTAAGTGGTTTTAAATGAGATGTAGCGGTACCTTCTGTAGTGCAGAACCCCGTCCTGAAGAGATTTGGAAGCTAGCTTTTGTTTTGGTAGTTGTGAAAGCCCGACTGTGCAGGATTAGATGAGGTCTTGCCGTACCAATCGGATGTTAGGCAAAATCCATTCAACAAGCAAGATCACACAATTTATAGGAGCACCAAGTGTCCTAACTATTGTCTATTCCTAACGTTTTCGCCTAGAGCTAAGGAAAGTTGGGAAAATTCCGTAGATCGCCAATAATGGTTGAATTCCTGAAGCGCATATTCCGTTTCTTTTCCCTTCTCTTCATACTTCTACTACGTATTTGGAGCTCGTATGTTTTGAGTAATTTCATTTTCCCATTTCCATATAGGTACGCAAGCCCTATTGATTGTTCGCCGTTTTCGTTGTTTCCTTGCCGTATAGTCGGACGGACCCACCGAGCCCTCCATCCCTACGAGGTCAGCAAATTGGTGCCAAACTTGTCTGGGAGGATAGCAGCACTGGCTCGATACATCGGTAGACCACCACGTGTCATTGTAAAGGTCAAATATGTATTAACTCACTTCCAATGATGTTTAATGAAATCCAATGCATTGCACGTTCCTCAGGGATTGATCAACATCGAGAGCTTTATTCTTTATCCTTTATGTGATTTGTCAACGAATATTGTAGAGATCCGAGCACGTATGTCATTTGGTTTGTTGCGTTGCATACTTCATCCACGGGGAACTTCGGATCTGCGTGTGGGTTTGATAGTTACTTGAAGTGTTCTCCACAATCAATTTTTTGCATAGAAATGGGTTTTTTCCAAGTCTAGTACCACTCTCCACGTCTCGAAACATTGCTGACTCGATTAGTCTGGGCAGGGTCAGGTTGGTTCTGACGGTTTGCGGCCTCATTTAGTGCGACGTTGTTATTTGTAGGTTTGTTTCATCGGCCAGTATAAATGGACATTGCGGCGTTGTTCTAGTTCTTCCTTCTTCTTTTCAAAAAAATTATGACACAAGAAAGCAGGCTGTACAAACTGTTACCTTAGTTTGTTAATTTGAGTGTCGTATTCATATTGCAGTCTTTTATAAATGGTTTAAATCTTTATGATTTCACGAAGTGAGTCGTGCTCTAACATTTATAGCTGTTGTTGATCTGGGTGAAGTTAAACATGTGTTGATAGAGTAGTAGCATTTAAAGGATACCCTTGAAATGCTGTGTACAGTGTGTGTTATCCTTAACTCTGTAAGGAGCTAACTTGTCGGAATAGCGAGCTGCATAATACACCTGAATGCTTTGTCGGTAAATTTTTTGCATTTTACAAAACCCCGAACTGCGGGTGTGAACGGTGGGAATCGAACCCGTTATCACCCTTTCCGGAAGTTAACGTGTTCGCCACTACACTATGCGGATGCTTCGTTTCGGTTTTCTGTCGGCCATGTTTTAACCTCTATGTGTTAACAGCAATGTTTAACATCATACTCTTCCGTGAGAAAAGAATGGACAGTAAATAAAAAGTGACTGCGTTATGTCGTTTTAGTTAAAGTATCCATAGATCAGCGGTTTATGTTAACATTCGTTTTGGTTTGATTTACGCTTCCGTACTCGAAGTTATATTGCTTTTCGTATACGTTGCTATTATTTACATTCGAGACAGCCACTTTTACTACGTTTATGGCATCTGCTTTCCTTCATTTAGCGATGTCTGGACCATATGGTCAACCTGGTTACAATCCTCAATATCAGAATCCCTATCCAGCCGGTGCTGCTCCACCGCCACCAGGGTGGAGTAATCAAGGACAACAAGGTATTTTCTCTGAAACTTCTTGAATGATTTGTGCTATTCTCAATGTTCCCAGTGTAGGGAATTACGAGCTACAAAGAACTGCTATAATTTGCTTCTAGTACGGTGTCTTTTGTTTGTAATGGTATGAAACGATTTAGTAAATTATACCACTGCTTGGATAATGCATGCTTGGTTGTGAATTTTAATCATTTCTGCTCATATAAGGACAGCTGCTAGCAATATCTTTTGCATGTTGAGAAGTTCTTACTATTCTTCTTGAGCTGTGCAAAGATTTCACATCGAAGGTGTCACCGTTCTACAACAATATTAATGTCGAGGTCCAAAGAGGGGTTAGGCAAGGAGACAGCACCTCGTCAAAATTATTTACCGCCACCCTCGAGAACGTCATGCGAACATTGGAATGGGACAAAACGTGAGTGAAAATCGATGGTCGGCAATTATACCACCTTCGATTTACTGGTGTCGTCTTATAACACTACGAATTAGCCAAGCGGAACGAATGTTTGTTGACTTGATGAAGTCTGTGGAGCGATTAGTCTTCGACTAAATCTCACTAAGACGATGTTCATGAGGAACGGATTGGTTACGAATGCCCCTTTTACGCCCAACAGAATGGATATCTCCAAATTGTTCCAGTTACGTCTGTCTAGGTCGGGAAATTAACTTGAAAAATGACTTAGCTCCAGAGTTGAGCAGAAGGAAACGAGCGGCTTGGGGAGTTTTCAAGAGCATCGAGGATGTAGTGAAGAGAACAACGAACACCCGACTCCGTGCCCACCTTTTCGACTCCACGATTCTTCCTGTCTTATCATATACGTCAGAGACCTGGTTGCAGCGTAAGCAGGATGGAGGATTACTCAGCGTTATTCAACGCGCAGTTGAAATAGCGATTCTAGGAGTATTCCGTAACGCACAAGTGAGGAAACGGATCCAAAGCTCCGACCTGCGTCAATGATCAAATATCAAAGATGCCGTTCTATACGCCAAAATATCGAAGATAAGGCTGCCCGTACAGGCAGCGCGTATGAACAATGGCTGACGAAGAGCCGTTAGCGACGAAATTCACCGGGGTGTCAAACGTACTGCAGGAAGACCACTGATCCGCTACTCAAAGTTCTTCACGAAAACGCTAGAAAAAAGGTATGGCGCTCAACGAGTTTTTAGAGCGAGGAGAACACACTAGGCTACTCTTGCACACGACAGGGAAAATGGAGAATTTACTGGCGACTGCTCAAGTTACTCGGTGATTAATGGGACGACAAGTGACATTCGAGAAGTGATGTTGAGAAGAAACATTATGTGAGTGTAGGCGATGTTTAGTTGTATTATGAAGGAAAACAAGCGTTATGATGGCGCTTGTTTCATGTGGTGCTATGTTACTGGCGACCGTAGCAGATAACATAGATACGTTATTGGAGAACCGTTTTGCTCATATTTTATTGAGGGGTTGTTGCGTGCACGCTGACAAATAATGCAAACGTTAGAGAAAATTTCGTGGTGTTTCAGGATTCGTGCCACCACCGATGCCGCATCCAAATATGATGGGGATGGGAGGGAACCCTCATTACGCGGAGGGCGGAGAGTCCGATAAATACAATCTTCACTTTAGGTATATTCGACTATGTCTATAACATTACGAAACGACGATAAATTTGGTGTGGTCCAAAGTGACCTGAATTTAAGGCCGCTTATGTTTGCCTTAGCTTGTGTATACAATTGAAGTACGGTGGTAAATCCGGAGAGTATGGAGTATGCAAGATTTGCTGATTTTCCTCTTTAGTTCCAGCACAAACTGCAGTCAAAACAATAGTAAATCGTACAAATTGCCGTAACTGGAATTTGTACAAACTAGGGCTTATAGTTAAGCTTAGAACTTCTATTTATTTTGCTTATTTAGTGATCGCACTATTCGTGCAGCATTCGTTCGAAAGGTGTTCTTCATGGTGTCTGTCATGGTTGGTTTGGTTTAGGACTACTGTCATTAACTCTACAACCTTATTTCGTTTGCTGCATTTCTACTCAAATGTCCAAGTATTCGAAAGTTCTATGCAGGAGGCTTGAAATTTACTACCACAGATTTTCAGCTTGGTGTAGTAGCGTTGATGACTGCGATTCCTTTCTTCAATTACGACACGAGGCTTTTCGTTGCAAGAAACATGGGGATGTATTGGGCTGCTTAGTAAGTGCCATATTTAATCAGTGAGATTAACTCCCTGCAACGACGCCTAATTATTAGCCTTTACGAACTTGTTGGTTTTTTGAAAATAAGCTATGATTTTTCTGTAAATGAAGGAATTCATGGGTTGTGAACATGAAAGTGCTCTGGAAGTCCTATCCCTCGGTTCGTATGAACGGTACATGTACTGATATTTAGAAGTGTTTTGAAACTTAGAGGACTCTATTTTAGTACTTTTTATACCTGCACACTTTATACGATAACTTTAATTCACTGTATCGGTTAGATTTGAAGTAGTAATCGACCAGCTCCCTGATTTTTAGTTATTCAGCTAGTTTGGAAAACTTTCCATGATAACACTCAAAAAAATCTATTTTCTACAAACTATCAGTTGATAAGAAATAACATTGTAGATTAGTTCCATATTCGAAAGTAAACCACTGGGAAGAAAATGAGACTTACAGAGGTCATACCGACCACTCCTAGAAAACCTTTATGGCACGTACAAGTGTCAGTGGTCGCGAAAGTATTAAGTTTGCTTTAAACTCTTTACCATTGTTATTATACATGTTATAATTTTAGTGGTGTATTTTTTGCTGTATATATAACATTGATGTGCTGCGAATCTGTGAGGCGCTCATTTCCGGCCAACATCATAATGACTGCAATTTTTGTGAGTGTACTTGTTGCTCATCATTACGTCCTAATGCTCTCTATTATTTTTTTCCGCTTTTGGTTTATTTGTTTAGAGCAATTTCTGTAAGGAACACAATATCAGGTCAGAGTTTCAGACCCTTGCTGTTGGTTACATGACGATGATGATCACTGTGCATCACAACGTAGTCTCAGTACTTCTAACACTCATCATCTGTACCATCTGCTGTGGATCGATAATTATCTTCTCAACGCAGACGAAATATGACCTGACTAAGTAAGGGAATAATTCCTGCTCAAGCAATACATAGAACGTCGTTGTATAGTCTCATTGAGTCGAGTTAATCATATGAACCGATCGATATAGGATCCGTGGGTGGAAGAGAGTATTTTACCAATCTCACATCACTTACATATATTTTTAGCATGATGGGCATAATGTTTATTCTGTCCATGTGTTTGATGGTATTTGGATTGGTGGCGATGATCTCGGCTATCTTCTTCCAAGTGAGGTTCATCTACATGGTTTACGCGGCGCTGGCATCATTGCTGTTTATGTTCTACCTCGCCATTGATGTGCAAGTAAGTCTAGAATGCAATAAGTACTTTACTTTACTACTTAGTATTTAAATACTTTTTTTGCAGTCTATGCATATCGTAGTTGCATTTAGTTGTTTCATTTGGGTAGTTGAATTTCACTAAAGGATACTAAGACTCAGGGGTAAATATATTGTTCAAATATGAAATATAATTCGAGTAATATAGAGGAAATGTTACATGTACATCATAAATACAAGTGGGCGCGTATAGTGCAGTCGTCGGAGGCTTCCTGCAATATCCCATGGGATTGTTACCAGACTTATTTGAGAGGATAGCAGACATGGGATCGATCCCGGGCTCCAGGCCCACCAAGTTGTGCATCCCTTTGGGGTCGGCAAATTGTTACCAGACCTATTTGAGAGGATAGCAGCACTAAGTAGATACATCAGCAGGCTACCGCGAGACATTGTAAAAGCCTGATATGCATTCAGTCACTTCCAGCGATGCTTAATAAAGTCGAATGCATAGCGCATTCCTCAGGGATTGGTCAACGACGAGAGCTGTATCCTTTTTATGTAGTAAAATATAACATACTGTGCTGCTATAGAGTGTAGTCACTACTTCTCATTGTAGATGTTAATGGGTGGTCGCAAGTACGAAATTTCACCAGAAGACCACATTTTCGCATCTATCCAGATCTTTCTGGATATCGTCTACATTTTCTGGATGCTCTTATCGTTATTCGGATTTAACAAGTAAGTTCTTCATTACGTTACTGCCGGCTTTTAGTTCTTTTCTGTCTCTTCAGGAGTTTAAGCAACTATGTGTGGTGTCTTACTGTTTTACTGGTGTTAAATCGGAAAATATTTCCGTAGTGTTGAGGAACTTAGTTTGTTAGACAAACTTTGTATTATCAATATTAAAAATGAACCTGTGAAGTCTGTCTAGCCGTGGTATTGATTTGCTCCATGTGAAAGATTCCATAGTATTGTTGACTAAATTTGTACGTTGAATGACCACCTACTCAAATTTTATCCTTCCAGCAAGGATTAAATCGAATTCGGAGTGGAACGATATCGAAAATCGTTTAAGAGTATTATCGTCGTTTGAAAATTGAAGACGGTAGCAATGTATTGTAGTGCATATGTTTCATTAAACATCTGTGGAAGACATCTGCTCATCCATAACGTCATAGAGTCGACTTCATCAATTGGGCAGATGACTTCTCATTGGTTGTTTAAACGTGTTCTTGTCCATGCGTGAGTTTGTACTTTCTTATCTACCAGTGAAAGCTTCTAGATGGATATAGCTTCTCTCATGCTTTCTTTCTCATACATGATCGAAGTGGACCAGAGTGTTACCTCTTTTAGGTGATAACATAGAATGCTAATCTTCATATCATGTTCTAAAACGCTTTGTTAGATATCTGCAGAAGTTTTTGTAATGTTTTCTGGGGTAAGCAAAGTTTACAATCCATGTTTGAGTAGAGCCCAAGTGATTGATGATGCTCTAGTCAAGTGCTTATGTCGTGGTTTCAAATTAGTTCCCAAGTGTACAGTGGTAAGCACTTTGAAAGCGGTAAGATTTTACTTACATGGTTCTGTTTCTTACTTCGCAAAAAAGTTTGTTCAACGTCTGTCTGCTTCCTCTATCGGTGTGTGCTGCTTGTGTAATGTGTTACGTCTTACCATGCTTAATTACGTAGTTTTATAAAGTTGTCTATTATAACTAACCTTATTTATTACTCTAAAGCATCGTAGTGTATCAGTTGAAAGTGAGAACGTTCTTCTGCCAAAGTTGCATAAGTTGTCAAGTTTCTATATCTTTAGCAGTTTACAATGTTTGCTTGTTCTGTCATTCACATTGTTTTATAATGCTGTTATAAATCTTCAGTCCTCACGCTAGTTTAACGTAATTTTTTCAGCAATTAGCTTGTGAGACGATGCATGGTCAAATCTTTCTTCTGTATGGCATGTTGTCATCGTCCCCCCTTTCTCTATAAAGAAGTGTCAGCCGTGTTTTATCGACATTAACAGGGCGATCATTACTTCATTCACCAATGGTTTCACTTTTATGGTCTGTTTCATATTTGGAAAAATCGTGTATTTTAACCTACGTACCTTTCGTACAGTTAACAGAATCGTAAACTTTGAATAGGGTTCCTATTAGTTTTTCTGATGTTTTCAATAGAAGCTGTTTTGTTAATCTCAATGCCTGTTGTGTTGTGAAACATGATGTAATTGTAAATGGTGTAATGAATGATTCTTACGACACATTTCTGGTTGGTTTTGGGAAAGTCGATGAGGGGACACTAGATATTTGGGAATACAACCTTCCCTTTCTTTGGTATGTTTGTTCCACGGTATTGAAAATTTTTTTGCGCAGGCTACGTGCAGTTTTACTTTCATGAGAATTTTTGATGTAGGAACGAAGTGGAGTTGTTGTGTTCGTACAGTATAGTGTTGTAAGTTAAGAAATGTTATAAGTTAGGTTTAGGTTTGGGAAGACGTCTCGAATCCTGTGTTACACCAGTAGAGTATTTGCAACGTGAATCCAGTTGTGAGTACACCAGTAGAGTGCGTAGAGTGCGGACAATGTGAATCCAGCTTCTGAGTACACCAGCAGAGTGTCGGCGGCGTGAATCCAGATTCTGAATAAACGTAATAGATAGGTGGGTATATGGCACTATATTCAGGTGACATTCATGTGGGATGATTTGTGTGGGATGGGTATTCTCATAGTTTTCTCTCTTTTCCATTCTTATGACGGTAAGGGGAGAATAGGAGACCATCCTTAAGCAATTATTAGTGCGAATGTTTCGTTCTACAGGAATGTTGACCTTGATGCTCTTATAGATCTGTTTCGAATGAACAAGGAACGTTCTGTAGTTGTTATTTATTTTTTATTAGATCAATGAAGAAGCGAGGTATTCTGGATAGCAGTTTTATAACTAAGTCTAACCACAACTTTATTAGGCACAGTGGGAGATATTGAAATGAACGCAAGTCCTGGAAGCGACGATATCTTCGAAAGGATTTTTGGAAACGCCTTGACCTGTGAACATTTTCCTAACAAGTTCCGTCGAGGTCCATCAGAAACTGTTAATTGGTTGGCAAGACATCCGGCGAACGTTCATTGATATGGATTGCTCAAAGTTTCTTCCATATAGTTTAACCCTCGTAGAGTTAATTGTGTTAATCGTTTCCCAAAGATGTCTTCGTCTTCCTCAGGGGCGATGATCCGAATCGATGTCCACAGTTGTTTGTCTTCTTGATGTGGTGTCTTCGTTGGGCATCGTCCGGATCTTCTTTTGTGGAACATCTCTTGAATGAAATATACTCACCCAGCGATGGTCTTATACACAGGGTTTTTGTTACTGATAGGCGTCACATCACGTCATTGTCCGGGGGTAATAGTTTGTTTTAAATTGTTGAGCGTACACGATGTTTTTGCAAAACTTTTATTCGGCTAACGGTTCGACGTCTTCGTCTACCTGTGAGGCGATAATCCGAATCGTTGTCCATGGATGTCCATGGCTCTGAAGAAGGCGAAGACCTCGAGATGTTAGCCGAGTAAATATTGGTAATAACCCTCTGTTATCTTGCCAATGAAACAATGTTTCCCGAAGATTTGGAAACATATGGTAGACTAAGAAAGAGTCATCGTATTATTTTGTGGTCTAAGCTTCATCTCAGTCACTATTCTGAATGTCGTTGCTCATCAAACAGATTCCTCCTATTTTCCATCTTACATCATTTTTTCATTTTTTAAGTTCCTTTCCACAATATGACGCGAGATGTAAGATATGACGTGGTGTTCGCTGACATCATATTGCAATTAAGAAAATGTATCATTCTGACTGAACAAATGATACACAGAGCAGTCTCCATAACAACAACCTCTTTGCTCTTCCTTCCATTCATGCGGCAGCCATTTATCGAAGTTTTTTCCTTTCAGATGTTTGGTAAATGTCAAACCGTTATTGATTGTATATCGTTGGGTAGCTCTGCAACCCTTAATAGAGAGGGCCAGCTTTGGTTATCAACTTTGGGTTGTTGTTGTCAGCTTCTAATGGACACCCACAACCTTCTTAGCACTAAAGGGTGAAGCTATCTGTGCACTCACGGTAATACCTCCATGTTTGAGAATTAGAGAATTTCGAATTTTTGGCTATAAGACCATTACTTCAAAATCATCAAACTTCGAATTTTAAATAAAGTTCTACACTCCATTAATTGACCGACAAGTAATCTTCAAGATTGTATATTGAAACATCAAGGTAGCAAATGCTTTTGCAAAATTCATAATGACACTAACGATTATTATTCGCTCCCAGGATCGACTTTCTCTTAACCTCGGCATTGGAATATGAATGTGTCGCTTTCTTGTTCAGCAATCGCGAGGTTTTTAAAAAGCATGTATTTACTTCCATAGAAAAACACAATACAATACAACGCTAGCTGACGTTTCGGCAGTATCGCCTTCTTCAGAGCCTGGAAGGGTATGCTGATATACCATCTACTAGCCTAAAGGCTTCAATAACACTTACAAAAAGACGAAAGACTCTTTGGTAATTACACGATCAACAACTTCTCGAAAAAACCCACCGCTTTTTCGTGACTTCCAATGAGGAAGTTTGGAACAGCTGATTATAGTCGCATGTGGTTGATGACTGCACCATCCCACATCAAAAATCGATGCGAACGTACGGGATCAGGTCGCGTATGACCTCCGGGCATTCATCCCTGCCATTCATTGTAGGGTTTTTGGCAATTATCCAAAACGCCTCAAGGAGTTTTCGCGCTGGTGTTTTAGTCTCCTGTGCAAGGATATTGACTTTTACTTCAAAATCGTCTCCGCTATGCTTTTGTGTCTTATGCGTGCCTAGTGGGGTGCTTCGTCCCAGCTTTCGTTTGCCATCTAGGTGTTCTTTTATACGGATACACAAAGGTCTGCCCGTTTCGCCAATATATTCATCTCCGCAATTGTTAAACGAATCAGGTATATCGTACCTGAACTCATGCAATCACCGTCCCTGCCGTAAGGGCAAATTACGCAATTTGTTGTTTCACACAGACGGTCATACAGGCGGTTGCGAACTAATTGGCGACGTGGAGTAGCCGGTGGTATTTCAACTATCGCTACCGATTCCTCTAGACTTGCCCTTCTTAAGCATCGTTTTATAGCTACGCTTACTTCATCGCTAGTAAAGGGCGACATAAACGGGGCTTTCTTTTGGCCAAGTGTTTCGCGTGGGCGCGTCGTTCTCCTTGTAAACTTATCTCGTGGCGTTACTACTTCGTAGCCATTGGAGATGGAGAATGCTTTCGACTTGTGAAGAAAGCATTGTCACTAAGGCATTATTATTTGTACTTGATACTTGAACGGCTCGTCGTCACTAGTTGTGCGAGGTCCAGAATAATCATTATTTTTCGGAGATTTGCTGGTTAAGCCATTGTGGTTCCCTGGAAACGCCGGACTCCTCAACTTGGGACACCATGCAGGGGAGACGAATCCTCCTGCTGTACATCGCAGTCCAGCACCCAGGAACACCTCCCAGCCTCGATGAGGCGGTAAACCGTTGGGAGGACTATTATTTGTATACCAGCTTAATTCCTACAGGTGTGAAGTTGTGAAAGTTTTAAGGTGGTTGTAGAATTTTTAGATTCATTATAAAATTTGAATTTCTAGGTTACGCCATAGATCTCATCATTAGCTGCTTTTTTGACAGTATTCTTTTCCATAGTGATTGATTGTTTTGAGAGAGCTCACAAGCTTGGGGGCGTACCGTGAAGTGTTCATCGAGTGGCCGCTACACTAAAGTCAATGCACAGGCTAAATCAGACTTATTATTAGCTCAGAGCAGGCGAAACGAAAGCGCGGTAGCCCCCGTAAAGGGTAATGGAGCGTTCGTTCCCCACCGCAGATACCTGCTGACCAGAGTTTTGCAAATATCTCAGCATTCGATGTTTTTCCTCAATAAGCAGACACGAGGTTGTTATTATAGAATTTATTAGGATACAGTAGCTATATTATTATAACTATAGCCTCAGTGATTGCTGATGGCGAAAGATCGATAGAACTACCTGAGAGACAGGCGAAACGAAGGACCTGCATGGTGTGGTGGTGAACACGGTACTCCCCGGAAAGGACAATAGCGAGTTTGCTCCCAACCGCAGACACCTGCGGTCCGGAGTTTTGCAAGTATGTTAGCTTTGTAGTAGTTATATTTTGCAAAATATCCTGCCACTAAAAACAATAGGCAGTAAAAAAAAGTTAAGATTGTTTGGTTTCAATTTAGATTTACCGGCTAGGTGTTCTTTTATGTGGACGCAGAGCGGTCTACCTGTTTCGCCAACGTATTCGTCCTTGCACGCTTTACAAGAGATCAGATAGACTGTACCCGAACTCATGCAATCACCGTCGCTACCGTTAGAGCAAATTATGCAGTTTTTCGTTATACATAGACGGTCATATGGGCGGTTGCTAACTGGCTGGCGTCTTAGAGTGTCCGATGGTATTTCTATCACTCTCACGGAATTCTCTAGACCGGCCCTTATTAAGCAACGTTTTATAGCTGCACTTATTTCGTTTGAAATAAAGGGCAACAGGAACGGAGCCTTGTTTTCGCTAGAATTATCGCTCTGGTGTGTAGCTTTTCCTCAATGCTTATGAAGAGAAGCTACAGTTTCGTTCCTTACCATTTGAAATCGCTATTTGGCGCGCCAGTTTTGAGGATTCCCACTGCTCTCTCTACCTGTGCACACGCTGGCGGCGGTTCGAAGCATATGTCTTAAAAGCGCCTTTTTAGTGTGTGAGGGATAAGAGGAGAGGTAATGAACCATTATATCCTTCGTGCTTGGCTTTCTATACGATTTCGTGACGTAGCCGTTTTGGGATAGGTTGATTTGAACGTTTAGAAATGGAAGCCAGTTTTCTTTTTTTCTTCTATCTCAGCACTGTTGTGATTGTATATGAGAACCATTGTGGTTATATTTCACATTATGGTGTGCTGCGTAAAATTGTGTTAATCAGCAATTAAGAATTTAACAATGTGATTTCGAGTACAGCCTCGGCTTAACTACTGGGTTCATTGCCGATTTGTGCTCACCAGGTCAACCCCATTGGTGGCTGATTGCTGAGCACTGGTAGATAGAAAACTAGCTGAGAGACAAGAGGAACGGGGTACCCACGTGGTGTGGTAGTGAACGTGTTGAGCTCTGGAGTGGATAGTAGCGCGTTCATTTCCCACCGTGGACAGCTGTGGTCCGGTTTTTGCAAGTGTATCGTTTATCAGCACCATTATGTTTGTATTTCGAATTTATTGTCTCGGCGATATTATAAATTGAATACTACACAATAGCGATGCATATGAATGCCGTTGTTGAGGTGAGCACTTTAACTTTTTATTGATCTGCTTTTATATGTATTGAACAGAATGTAAATTCATTATATAGAAGTATCTTTTACAGGATATCATTTAGCTTTTGTTGTAGTGACAACGGTCGTTGACGTTCCAGAGAATTTTTGCGTTGCTCTGCAGCGCCAGCATATTATTAACAATATCACCAGAGTGATACAAATAATGCCTACCACCACATAGGCAAGTGTGAAACCTGAAAAGTGTGGGTTAGAACCGGTTTCATATTGTGCCTACAGTAAATAGCCTACTTCAGAGAGCTGCCTACTGTTGTACATCATGACACACGCCGAAGTATCAAACATTATGATGAAGGGTGAAGCTTCCAACGTTCATCAGTCCATAAAGGATGCGCCATGCATTCGACTTCATTAAGCATCGTTGAAGGTGATTTAATGCATATCTGGCCTTTACAACGACTCACGGTGGCCTACCGATGTATCGAGCCAATACTGCTATCCTCCTAGACAAGTCTGGTACTAATTGGCCGACCTGGATGGGACGGAGGGATTGGCGAGACTGGGCGTGGGGATCGATCCTATGTGTATTTCAGGACGCCTCCGACCACTGCACTACAGCGCCCTATCAAAAATCATAGAAATTTATAATAGACGAGAAACTATCGGATAATCACAAAGTAATTTCTTGCCGATGTTGTTTGTTCTTTCAAGTTAGTACTTGATTGGAAAGGTACTAGTTTATTTCCGTGGATCCCAATCATATGGAAGGTGTCGTGAGCGGAACGGGAGGATTACGCACTTGCTCCGAGACAGAAGCGGATCCTTGAAATTTTCTTAATTCCTACCTCGATTATCGGTGAATTGAATTATATTTTCCGGAGCCCATTAACATCACGAGGGGAGTGACAGCAGGGTTGCGTGGAAGGGTTACCAGTACCGACTGGAATCATATATGAGAATTAAAGGTGGCGCTTACGGTTGACAGTTTTTGTCTACGAAAATGGACGCAGAGGAGCACAGAACAACAATATCTGCATCAGCAAAGGAAATGAAGCTCTGCTCGATATCTCTACATGTTGAGGAGTACTTTTGTTCGCTGTTGTATCTTTGGGCTTGCTATTTTTGTCAACTCGTCTTAGTCAACGTTCTCTGAGATGGACCGGAATAGATGTGCTACGGGTACTAAAGTTGCTAATAAAGCTGTCATTTTTAAGTACTAGTTTTCATCTATAATTCTTTTTTTAAAGATAAGATACCATTTGATTCTTCGTCTTCGGATTCGTTGACAATCAACGTCGTACGATCTTTCCCGCCTGCTAACTGAAAATTTGATTTCACCAACGTTTTTTAACGCTAATGAGAGAAGCTAACAGAAGCAAAGCGACATTATTAGTACATCAAGAAAAGAACTAAATGTAATTACAATGTTAGCTTTTATTTTACTGCCTACTACGATTTTTCACTACAGGATATTATATGAATTGCACCCATAACGATGCTGAGATATTTGCAAAACTCCGGACCGCAGAGGTGTCTGCATCATTGTGGGTGTATTTCACATGACACCCTGCCGTGAAGAATTGTAATAGGCAGCAAATAAAAAGTTAACATTGTGATTTCGAGTACGGCCTCTGCTTAACTGGGTTCAATACCGGTTTGTGCTCTCCAGATTAATGTCGTTGACAGGTGATTGCTGATAGTACTGGTAGATGGAAACTAGCTGAGAGAATGGTGAAATGAAGGCCCCGCATGGTGTGCGTGTGAACGCGTTAGACCCCAGAAAGGGTAACAGCGTGTTCGATGCCCACCGCAGACACCTGCGGTCCGGAGTTTTGCAAACATCTCGGCATCATTGTGGTCATATGTGATTAGTTACGTATAAGCGAAATAAGGTTGAGAAGAAAAGTGTCGAGTGAGGGAGGGAGTGAGGGTAAGAGAGGCTTTTGGCTGTGATCGAAGCGATGAAAACATGCTGAACGTCAAAAATTGGCTGTTATGACGCATCGTTTGCTTTTCACAGAAGTGGTGCCTCTTTTAACACACCTCATACCATGTGTTAACATCAGCGCGTAACAGTGGATTGTTCTCAACGACAATTGTTTTAGATGCATTGGACTTCACACTACGTAATGAAACCAACTGCAGCTCACGCAGTGCTGAATTGTTACTGATATGCACTGCAGCACCTGGAAATATGGCTCTAGTTAGATCCTATCCATAGCGGTTATGATATGCTCATGGGTAAGCATGAAGTACTGTGTGGAAGAGCCGTATGATTTCACAGAAAATATGTTTACGATACCATACCAAACAGTGCATTGCTTACGTTTTTCCTTCGTACCCGCATCGATTTCTTGTAAATTAGCAAGAAAATCCAACTTTACGAGATCCGGGTTGTTCAGCACATGTAATATACCGATCATTTTTCTAATTGACTTTAGATGTTGCAGTGCAGTAGTGTTGTCTATAAAAGGTAATTTATACAGAGGAGACAAAATGATAATTAGAAGAGTTGAGGTAGTTTCTTTTTAAGCTAAATGATCGGTATAAAAGGATAAAGGATAAATCTCTCGGCGCTGATCATTCCCTGAGGAATGCAACATGCATTCGACTTCGTTAAACATCATTGGAGGATATTGAATGCGTATCTTGCCTTTATAGTGACTCCAGCTGGCAAACTGATATGCTGAGCCAGTGCTGCTATCCTCCCTACAAGTCTGGTACCAATTTTCCGACACCGGAGTGATGGAAGGCTTGGTGAGTCTAGGGCGCAGGGATCGATCCCATGTCAGGGAGCCTCCGACTACTGCGCTACATGCACAATCAGTGTAGGAATCACAATGTGAGCTTGCATATATGAACATCAGTGGGAAGTTGTACATGCCAAACGGGTAGAACCTTCATTATAATAGGAAAAGGGCAAATCATTCGTTTTTGCGATTGTAAATACTTTTTACGTTTCTGTAGTTAGTGTTTTTCGTACAGACAAGCAGTAGAAAAGGCAAAGCTTCTCCAAATCCTCTTATTCATAGAACCTTTCCAGTTTTCTATGATGACGTTATCCTTGATGACAGCACACTGATAGCCAGCGATCGTTGATGAGATATAGTCTGGTGTTACAGTTCCTCCCATACAAACCTTCTCTAAAAACATGTTTCTTGCAAAAGTTGCAAATTAGGTCTATAATGTTTATCATACGGTATATATCAGTCGATTTAAGAGTGTTATTGCAATAGAGAGGTGATGCTTTTTATTGTTCTTTAACAGCAAAATTTTCAAGAAATATGAGGGTATATGCTTGGGTTAGTGCTAATATTTCCACTTGCTTTACATTACCATAGTCTCATAAGCAGTTTGAATATAGGAATATGGTCTTAATGATCTCGTGGTTATTAAAATATAAGCCGAATGAGGTACATATAACTCGTTTTTATCGTTTCATGATGAATGCCTTACAGAAACGTTTTGTTTCTTTGAGGCTACGGTCTTCTCACTACCATATTTACAGAAGTGGATGTTTATGCTTTTGTTTTAATGAGAGCGTACAAACGAAGAACAGTGGGAAAACTGACCACAATCGTAATCCGTAGTTGTCATATTCAAGTCGGTAATATGTCTATTAAGATGTCTAACCATTTGTTCATGCATGCAAAGGTCAGGATTGTCCAGGATTTCTAGAGAAAGAGTGAAAGGCTATGCTTCTTTACCAACATTTTAATCATCATTGTTTTTCACGATCGTGCCTTCATAGCACGGTAATCGTGATTGTCGACAAAAGCGAGATTAGTTTAGCGGAAGTTGTTGTGAAGTTTCTTGACGACGAAGTCATTCATGGTCATTTCAGCTGACTTTTTGCTAATCGTTGATGATTTATTGCTAGCTGCGAATATCTTACCATTCTTACAGACCCATGGTGGAATTATATGAGCCTTCATGTTACGAAGAAAGTCAATGTTCTCCACTTTGGAATTTTTCACTAATACGCATCCTGTGAGATTGAACGGTTTCAGTGGCTTATTAGGTGGCAGCAGTGTGTTGCCTCTCAAGACAATGTCTCCGAAAACAGATTCACATCCGACGAGGTCATCCAAGCTCGTCAATGGTTTTGGAGCGGTGCACTCTAAAAATTAGAATGTAAAATGCCGTAAGAAACTATTTCTCAAAAGGTGGCCTTTGCGTATCTAAATGGGAACTATTGGGAGCGAACAGGTTTCTGACATTCGGGCAGGATGTACCGTTGAGTCGAAAAGGTGGACACGAAGTCAGGTGTTCTTTTTTCTCTTCACTACATCCTCGATGCTCTTGAAGGCTCCCCAAGCCGCTCGATTCCTTCTGCTCAGCTCTGGAGCTAGTTTGTTCATCAAATTCATTTCCCGACCTAGATAGATATAACTGGAGCATTTGGAGATATCCATTCCGTTGGGCGTAAAAGGGGCATTCGTAACCAATCCGTTCCTCATGAACATCGTTTTTGTGAGATTTAGTTGAAGATCGATCTTTCCATAGGCTTTGTCAAAGTCGGAAAGTACACGTTTCGCTTGGTTAATGTTTGATGTTATACGAGCGATGTCATCAGCAAAACGAAGATGGTGTAATTGCCGACCACCGATTTTCACTCCCATGTTATCCCATTCCGATGTTCGCACGACGTTTTGGAGGGTGGTGGTGAATAATTTTGGTGATATGGTGTCGCTCTGTCTAACCCCTGTTTTGACGTCAATTTCAATCTACTTGTAGAATCGCGGTATGTCGGTCGTAAAGTTTTTATGTTGCTCACGAAGAATCTTTGTACACTGAGTAAGGATTCCTTGATTGTCCAGGGCTTCCATGATTGCTTCTATCTCAACAGCTTTCTTTAAATCGATAAGAGTGAGACAGAGCGGTCTTTTGTACTCTCACGATACTTCATTGAGTTTTGTTATCGTGTGGATGTGGTCTATTGTACCAAATCCTTTTCGAAACCCTACTTGCTATCACGGTTGCCCTTCGTCCAATGTTCTATCAATCCTGTTTAGGATGACTCGAGTGTAAAATTTGTAGACGACAGACAGCAAGCAGTTTGACCATCGTTGCCGATATCGTGAAGGTTACACTTGGACAATAACACGGTCTTGTTGGTCTTCTATTGAGTAGGGACCTTCCATTCAGGCAGGTAACGTGTGAAGAGCAGTACCAGTGTGTTTACGAGGAGTGGCGGAAGGTTCTTCAGATGTTCAGATCTTATCCTGTCCGGGCCTCGCAGTGTTCGATTAAGTTGAAATAATGTTGTCCAATAATCAAAACGAATTTAGCAATTCTACGTGGCAGCTCAACTATTACAATGCCTCTTAAAGTCTTACGAAATTCTTCTTAATTTCAGTAGAAGATTGGTCCCCATGGTTTACCTCCTGTTGGTGACTGGAGATTTTTCTGTGTGTTGCACTCATACCTTATGTTCCCTTTAAAATTTAATAATGATGTTCACTTTGCAGTTTTTCTCAAACTTGTTTGGTTTTTTAAGATTATTTCTTGAGAGCTGAAATGTTCGAAATACTTGTGGAAGTACACGTTCCACGGTTGAAGATTGCACAAATATATGAGCTGTAATATATTGCTCAACAAGAATATCGAAAACTATATGAGCTGCCTTATGGTGTTCTGACAGCCTTCTAAACGGTAACATTGAAGAATTAGGCTTAGATTTCTCGTTTTTATGAGTGAAAGATTGAACTTGAGCCTTTTATTAGAAGAGAAAAGAATCCCCATGTCGTCAGTGCAAGAACAGTAGTTAAAGTGCCCTAGAATGCACGCGTTGACTCTGGCTCGATACTGCGCCACATGCCAAACAAGCACTCATCGCTCTGGTTTCTAGAAAGATAAAAACCTGACTGCTGCATATATTGCTAGACCCCACCAAACGTATAGGCAAAATATGCACTGAGTCATCTATCTCCGTTGTTTGAAGCAGATGCGTGCATGATGCCTCAACGAATTTCTGATAAATGTCGAAAGCTTTAGCCTTTATCTTCAAACCACTTACATCCTTGTAGAGTCGTATCAGAGTAGAAATTAACCAAAGTAAAGCGTTCCATCAGAAAAACCTTGTTCGCTTCAGAAAATACCACGATATGAAGTCACGGGAAAATCCAAGGGAGAAAAAAATTCGTTCTTGTTAAGTCTACTTTGAATTGTACAGATTTTAGAGTTGCTTATTCGATTTCCATTGCAACTTTAACTATAGATAGAAAAGAACTATAATTTTGAGATTGAAGAGCGGTGAGGACAGTCATGGTGTAATACCTCCGAAAGCTTGTATGGCAGTACGTTTAGAATGAACTCCACTTTTGATTCTATTGAGGTTGGCGATGCTTTCTGCAGAAAGTTTTCTATTTCCACGGACCATGATAGGAGGCACAAATCTGCTTGATGGAGTTCCATTGCCAAAGACGATTTCCTCTAATAGAGGGTTGTCTCGGATTACGATAGCAGACACTAAAAAGAAGAGCAGCATTGATAAGCAGAGACCAGATTCGATGTTAACTGAATACTAGCATATGTATATATATATACATACATATATGCATATATATGCTACAGACTGTGTATACTACACTATTCGTGTGCGAATATATGTATGTGTATATATATATACATATATATATATATATAAATTGCATAATTTGCCCTGTACAGCCGGTGACTGCATGAGTTCGGGTACGGTGTACATGCTTTCTTATAAAGGGTGCTTGAACGAATACACTGGCAAACCTGGTACACCATTATGTGTCCGTATAAAAGAACACTTAGTCGGTAAGCGTAAAGTTGAGCAATATACTCTACCAGGTATGCGTGGGAGAAAAACACATAACGAGGTCGGTCGAGCTGTAGAAATGACCATACTATCATGGCCACAATGGCCATATCACAAGAATTCGAATCCTCAGTGAGTAAAACCATCGAAGCATTCTGCGTGGATTCCAGGACTCCAAAAATGAACCGCATGGACGAATGCTTCTTATCACACGCACGATTGATCAACGCCGAGAGCTTCGTCTTTTTTATGCTTTATATAACTATATGTATATGTAGGTTCTCCCTATTGCAGGAGTTCTCATTGGGTTAACTCGGTCAGAAGTTAGTAATGAAATGAAAGCGCCAATCATCGCAAGTGGCTCGGAAATGTCTTCTACTAGGAGGGCCCATATGTAATCTATGAGAAATCAGCAGGTTATCCAGCTTCCTACCTATATAAAGAATGAGTCGCAATATTAGCTTTCTATTTGCTGCCTACTACAATTTTCACAGCAGGGTACTATGTGAAATGCAGTCGTAATGATGCTAAGATATTTGCAAAACTGCGGAACGCAGGTGTCTGCGGTGAGATCGAAAACGCTACTATCTTTTCCGAGGGCTAAAGATAGTACCTGTAAAACACGGTTGACAGAACGGCTAGACAAAGGAGCTGGTGTGATGATGAACGCGTTAGCCCCGGAAGGGGTAATAGCATGTTCGGTTCTCTCCGCAGACACCTGCTCTCCGGAGTTTTGCAAATATCTCAGCATCATTACGGTTGTATTTCACATAATGCCGTTTCGTGAAAAAAAGAATAGGCGGTGGACAAAGGTTGATTACATGGCGTAGTGCTTAGTTGGTGGGACAAATAATGATAGGCACTAGTACGTAGTAATTATAAGTCGAAATAAATTTGACGATTCGTTATTCTCACAGGCTTTCGTGCACTCAACGTTGAACCTCTTCTTAATGGCTGGGAATACCACTCGCTTGAATGTTGTGTTCTGAATTAGAATACAAACTTGAAATTGCTGTAGTTTTGAGAAGAAGGTGTTGAATTCGTCGCCACTGAAGTGCTTCGCGTCAATCAACGGCGTTCTCGTGTTTCCAAATGATAATGTCCTTCTCTGTCCACATTGTTTGATAAACTTCTTCACGTCATTTTGGTAAAAGTCATAGCTGCTGCAGTCTGAAAAATTTTCGTTAGAGGTAGTTGTCTTCGATTTCTTCTACTATTAGACATGAATGAATGATCATGGATTCTGTATCTGCAGAATTTTTGGTTATTGGCAAGATTACTTTATCCTTTCACTTCTAAAACCATCTGTTAACATTTCTATGGCTTAATCCCGGTCTGTAGGCACCGTAAATGAACTTACACCTTTGCCAAATAAGTGCTGAATACAATAGGTCGCACTCAGAATATAAGAGATTATGCTTTTGCACTTCTAATCACAACGTTTACTCTTATTTAGCGAATCACTTAGACAGATTTTGTTTCTCCGAGATGTTTTGAACGAGTGACCCTACACGTTTGGGCATTGCTTTCTATAGGAGTAGCTCCTTCCTAAACAGTCTATCGTAAGAAACCACCCAAATCTTAATTTTGGTCAATTTTGGCCATTCCTTCACTTAATGATAACGATTTGACATTTTTCTTCCGCATAAACAATGAAGCACAATTTTTCTTCGGCTTCGTTGGCTAAGGTCACAAGCTTTTCCCTAGCCCCGTATGTCTCACAGCATTCATTTTTCGAAGTATTCGTCTGAGTCTCAACCACATAGTACAATACTGGGACAAGTGTTATCAAACAACATGTGTTTCATTCACTTTTGCCACGATATGCAAGATACATAGTAGGACATAATGTTCAAATATTGATTGATCTAGATGATGTAAAATGCATCGAGCTTAACATCACAAGAAACTACAATAAAAACTTGCTATAGTGGGGAACGAACGCGCTATTGTCCTTCCCGAGGAGTAACGCGTTCACCACCACACCATGCGGGTCATTCGTTTCGCCTGTCTCTCAGCTATTTCTATCGATCTTTTTGCCACAGCAATCACTCGTCAGCGGGGTTGATCTGGGGAGCGCAAATCGGCATAGAACCCAGTTAAGCTATAGGACAATAGCGCGTTCGTTCCTCACCATAGACACCTGCGGTCCAGAGTTTTGCAAATATCTTAGCAACGTTGTGGTTGTATTTCGCTTAGTAACCTGCCATGAAAATTATAGAAGGCAGAAAACAAAACGTTAAACTTGCTATAGTCTTGATGACATGATCTCTTACTTACTTTGAGTATATGCTAGTTGAATTAATGCTAGAAAAATCACGTGACAAATCTTCATAGAGATAGAATAATGAAATGAACTGTACTATTCTTCAGCCAGTGATAACCTAACTGCTACGTGTAAGACATTTTGAAGCATAATTACTGATTAGATTTCACTCAACGTATTTAAGCAATTTTGCATAATAAACCTTAACTGTGGCTTGTGTAGAACAGTGGTCGGAGGCGGTTTGCAATACAATTGGTATCGATACACGCGCGCAGCGCTCACCAAGTCTTCTATGCTTCCGGAGTCGGCGAATTAGTAATAGACGGATAGCAGCACTGGCTCGATATATCGGTACGCCTCCACTAGTCAGTGTAAAACAGATATATGCATTCAGTCGCTTTTAACGATGCTTAATGAACGTGAATGCATGGCAAATCCCTCAGGGATAAATCAACGTGAACCCTTACCCTTTTATAACCTTAAATTGCGACGTGGGCTCGTAACGTGAAACCGTTACGAACTAGATTGGAATTTAATCATCGCACGTCTTTCAGATGAAGTCGAATGGATGGCATATACTGAAAGGATTGATCAACTCCGAGAGCTTTATCCTTTCATCCTTTCATCTTTCTACTATTTTCACATACGTAGGCCACAGAGGTCTATTTCATTCGATTCGTTCATCTTGCAACTGCTATCCTTAGAGTTCGGATTCGTGTTGGCGTCCGAGTACAATTTGAGTATCTGTCGTCTTCTATTGTTGACAAATCCAGTACTTCTTGAACGTTTCCATAGAAGACCATAGTAATGCCGATAGCGCGTTCCTGGTCTTTAAAAAGGCATTACTGAAAGAATATGGGCTGAAGGAGGGTCTGTTGACTTTCTATTAGGATTCTTCTAGCACGCCCGAAAGTCCTGCAGTTAGACGACTGACCGATCGATGGTCGGGCGAATCTGGTAGCTATCTGAACACAAAAGCAATGAGGAGTTGAAAAGGATGGAAAGAACAAAAGAGAAAAGTATGATGGCATCAGCATTAATAACCGTCCTATAGAATGGCACTGCCGAGTGATCTTACTTCATTCGGACGACGCTTCAGTGGAATCGACTCGGATCAATCCGGATCTGAAGAAGGCATAAGGGCCAAAACGTTAGCCGGATAAAGTTTCGTTTCATCAACCTTGTGTTAACTTATCAATGAATAAATATGTGCTGATTAGTCATTTCGAGGTTAAAGAGAAGTTGGTTTTTGAAATACAATGAGGAGTACCCCCAGAAAAGGTAATCGAGAGCTCGAATCTGGGCTAAAGTCTAAGTTTTCCAATTTTGAACTCGGCCATTGTGCATCGTTAGTTTAACCCGATGAAACACTTAGATCATGGTTTAGTAACCCAAACAGTATACATGCATACTTAGTAATTACAAAACAGGATTTATTAGAGAAGGCATTTAAGCTACGAAGTCATGTTAATGTGAAGAAGAACGGCGATAACAAATAGCCAAATACATTTAAGGAGCACATCAACAGAACTTTTGCTAACAGGTAAACTTCAAACGGAACAGTCAAAATTATCCTTGCAGGTTGTTTAAGATATATAATAATAGATCGAGAAACCATTCTAGAATACAGGGGTGTGATCATCACCAGGACATCCGGTTTATACCTTTTGTATAACACGTGATATTTTTTCACGGTAGAACCGTCCGAATTTAGATTTCAAGAGAGCTTGAGACAAATTGTGAAGAAATTTTCTCTACGCACCATTGATATATCGTTGCAGATTGATTTTACTGGTTGGTTATTAATTTTATTATTCTACTGTGATTCCACCAAGGATCTCCCTCGAATGGGGGATCTCGAGCCAGTTAGACGCGAGGGTCATTCCCCGTGTGGCGAATAGGGGCTTAATCGCGGACCAAAAGCGACCTTTGATTCTTTGAGATGCAGATGGATCCAGGGGATGGACTCATGCTTCTGCTGCGCCGATTTGGCACATGATTTCTGTATTTTTGCTAGGCGTATTCATGCATGCGTGTGTGGATGCGTTCTTGCTTATGCGGATTGTATTCTACGAGTCAATTCGGCCAAAAACCTGCAATCAAGTGACTGGGAAGTATACGGGAGGCGGTTAGGAGTCGCCTCCAACAAATAAGCTCATGTCCACTCTGGGGGAGCCTAGCAAGCTACCCGTGAGTACACCCAGCCCCCCACTTTCAGAGCCCAGCAAGCTATACGTGGGTATCAAAGATGCTAAACACAGTTAAAAAAAACGGGCTTCATTCCTCTGACACCGAAAGAGCCCCCAATTCGGCAGCGTTGGGTAGGAGGAGTATGGAGAACGATAAACTACGTCATCGGCCTGGCCGAGGCGAGAAGACGCCACCCTTTCAACGCCGTTTATGACACCGGAGAAGAACTGTTCCTCTGAACGTGCGACAGTAGAGGAGTCGGCGGCGTCGGCGTTCTCGTTAACATGAGTTTATACATAAATATCGATCTATTCGAACAACTAACAATCCGAATCGGACGTTTACGACTAAAAAGATATAGGTCAATACCACCCTTGACAATCCTCGTCGCCTTCGCGCCGACGTCGAGTTATGACGAAGAAGAAGTCGAAGCATTCTGTATGGACTTGGAAAAGTTCTACAGAGAAGACCATACATTCTTCAAGGTCATCGATGGAGATTTCGACGCCAAGACTGGACCAAGAAGAACGTCGAAGAAAGTCAGATTGAAACCCACGGATTAGAATGGAACGAACAAGGTGAGCTGCTCTCTGACTTTATCATGACGACAAAGACCATCCATGGTAACTCGCAATTCCAAAAGCTCCACCTTCGACGCTGGACGTGGACATCTGCCGATGGATAGTGCCACAACGAAATAGACAACACCATAGTAAACAGAAGGCTTTGCCTAACCTATTTCGCTGTTGTCCCAAAATTCTAGACGGAATCAAACCACTGTCTCCATCGTACATGATTCCATTTTTCGCGAAAAGGAGAAAAAGCCGCTAAATTCAAAAACCGAAGTCCCAGAACCACCACAAGCTGGGACTTATTCAATTCACTAGTCGGCTGTTGGGAAGATGTCGTAGTCGACAACATCGACGAAGATTACGATCTGCTCATTCAACACCTTCACGTGGGCGCTATGAAAGCCGAGAGTTCTCAAGCCACCAGGAGACGTCTGTCTCCAGAAATACTCCAGCTGGTAGGCCAGCGTGGAATCGCATGAGGTGCAGGTAACCGCGAACTGACGTACGAGCTTGTAAAAAAATCTAGACAGGCGATAAAAGGAGACAAAGAGAGAAGAGCAGCAGTAACGGTCGAAGATGCAGCCTCACCCAACCTGCTTGCGGTTTACCGTCTACAAACGTTTTACTCGAGTCACCCAAACTCCTCCCAGCGGTTTCCAGCGGTTCACCGCCTCATCGTAGCTGAGAGGTGTTCCTGGGTGTTGGGTTACGAAGTACAGCCGCTGGATTCGTTCCTCCGTCAGGATCCTCTAAGCTGAGAAGGAGTCCGACTTTTCCATCGGGAACCCCAACTGAGAGTAAACGGATACCAGAATCCACCACCGTGATTGTATGAAACTAGTTGCATGGTGGCTAATCTTCTTCCGGTGCATAAAGGCGGCGACTGTCTGTAGTGGTGACGGCCCAGAGCAGACTTTGACCAGGTTAATGTCGGGACTCCAGGGAACTACAATAGCTAGACCAGCAAAACTCCTAGAAAACGGACATTATGCTGGGACCCGTACAATCAGTTATAAACGGCCATCCAGGTATCCATCCCAAATAGAATTGATAGAACACTGGGCGAAGGGTAGCCATGTAAGCAAGCAGGGCTTTTAAAAGGATTCAGTACGATGGACCATATCCACACGATAGCAAGACTCGATAGGAGTATCGCGAGACTACAAAACACCGCTCTGTTCCACTTTTATCGATTTAAAGAAAGGTGTTGCCTCAGCTGAGATAGAAGCAATCATAGAAGCCCTGGACAAACAGGGAATCCCTACTCAGCATATAAAGATTCTTCGTGAGCAACATAAAAATTTTACGACCGACAAACCGCGATTCTACAAGTACATTAACATCGACGTCAAAAGGGAAGCTAGGCAAGGAGATACCATCTCGCCAAAATTATTCACCACCACCCTCCAAAACGTCGTGCGAACATCGGAATGGGATAACATGGGAGTGCAAATCGATGGTCGGCAATTACACCATCTTCGTTTTGCTGATGACATCGCTCGTAGAACATCAAACATTAACCAAGCGAAACGTGTACTTTCCGACTTTGATAAAGCCTATGGAAAGATCGATTTTCGAATAAATCTCACAAAAACGATGTTCATGAGGAACGGATTGGTTACGTATGCTCCATTTATGCTCGACGGAACGAATATCTCTAAGTGCTCCAGTTATATCTATCTAGGTCGCGAAATCAACGTGATGGAAGACAGCTCCAAAGTTGAGCAGGAAACGAGCGGCTTGGGGAGCTTTCAAGAGAAACGAGAATGTAGTGAGGAGAACAAAGAACAGTCGACTCCGTGCCCACGTTTTCGACTCGAAGGCACTTCCTGTGTTAACGCATGCGTCAGAAACTGTACGCTGCGTAAGCAGGAAGAAAGATCACTCAGCGTTATCGAACACGCAGTCGAAAGGACGACGCCAGGAGTATCCCGTTCCACACAAGTAAGGGATGGGATGCGAAGCTCCGACCTGCGTCAACGATCAAAAGACAAAGATGCCGTTCTATACGCCAAACTGTCGAAGATAACGTAGGTCGGACACATAATGCGTATCAACGACAATCCATAGACAAGAGCCTTAAGTCATTGGATTTCTGTGGAGCATGCGACAGAGAAAATGGAAGGTTTATTGGCGCTCGTTCGAATTTGACAGTGATTCCTGTTTCTGACTTTTGCACGGTTAACATCTCCTTCACTTGCTTGATTTGGGCTGACATATTGGCCGTTTCCTAGTTATAAACCGGTTCAAGTCTTCTTTATTATCCTTTCCAGAACTGATCCTAAAACACTTTGTTCGGCATAATTCTACCCGCTATTGTACACCATGTCCTACATTAACTGACATGCATGAAGCTCCAGCTGTCTTTGCTTTCCTTATCTGGCCATCATTGGCTAGCATTCTTTTCATACCTAGACCCTGTGCGTCTACGGATGATTTTCAAAATGGACCTCATGATACCATGTGGTTTCATATGAATGAATTCATTAGAGAATCATTCAAAATGGAATCAATACTACTACTACTACTACCTTATGTCTGTTATACTAAGCGGAACAATCATAGCCTAAGGCCTTCTAGTTCGCCTAACATAAGAATCCATGATATTCTCCGACCCATGAAGGCAAGTATAAGCCGTGTAGGCTTTGCAGGAATGGAGGTTTTTCCACCGTTTCTGCAGACATTATTGTCCTTTACACCACGGGGTAGTGGTTTCTTTGGAACGTTTGCTAAGTATACATCATTATCAGTCTTACTCCGCACATTAGAGGCTTCCATTCACTGCTCATCTACTACTACATTTGGCTTGTTTTGGTGTTTACGTAAAATACAAAGTGCATAATGTACAGTTCTATCTAGCGCCTACCATTTTTTCATGCCATTTTATTACGTGTACTATAACCACGATGATGCTAAATATCTACAAAACTTGGACCTCAGGCCAGGCCGAACCGCGACTACCCTTTCCAGGTGTTCACGTGTTACCCACTGCGCCGTCGAAGACATTGCTGTGGATTTCTCTCCGCCAGTTTCTATCCTAACGGTGCCATCAGCAATCACCCACCAACGGGTTCCCATTCGATCTCGCCCGGAGTCTAAGTTTTGCAAATATTTTAGCATCATTGTGGTCGTACTTCACTAAGTACATAGTTATTTCTCTGTTCGTTTTTAACATACAATATTGTTGTGCCACTGGGTTTTAGGATTAATAAGAGGCACGACATTAAATTTACTAGCGGTGAAAGAAAGCTCGAAAGAAAGGCTGAGCCTGACAATGTTAGGTAGTTGGGGCCAAATTATTGAGCTCAACGTCGGGAAGAATACGGAATAATTCACAAAATTTAATTGCGGACATACATCTAAAATCTCGGCTATATTTTAATGTCGTTTCGTCGCTTGTTTTCGTTCGATCGAAGTCCGGTCGTCCTTGATCCTTAAGGGAATTAAAACACAAATGCTTTGTAGTAGTTTAGTTTTGACCTTAGGTCATAACTTTGTGACTTATCTAATTAATGCTGAGAGGAGGCATCGCTGCGGGATGTGTTCATTCGTTATTCGTTGAACATTTTATTGAACGGAGCGTGTTGCAATCATTCCCCATTTGCTTTTTATTATTTTTATTTTCTTGTTTGCGTCGATCTTCTCTTATATTGAGACAAGAGTTTGTTTTTTTTTATTATGGAGTTTGATAAACTTTTTTCGTTGCCATCCTGACATACTTATTGCTTATTTATTGCTTACGTTGCTTATTATCGGCTGGGCTTCAAAATGAGTGTGTCGAACTCTTAAGTTACGTGACCCTGCCGACAAATATGCCAATGTATTGCGTTTCCCATTCGAAAACCCTTGCCTATCACACTGTATTGGTGACTCAGTACATCGTTAAACTGGTTTGCATTCTAAGAAGATATCGTTCCTTTCAAGAATCATCGGCTTTGAAGAAGACGAAGGCGTCGGAACGTTGGCCTAGTAAGGGTTGGCTAGCAACCTTGTGTTGGGTTATCAATGACATAAGCTTCATTGGTCCTTCATGGTGGGGTTAGATGAAAGTCTATTTACGATAGTATAATCCCATTTTCAATTGTTTAAAGCTTATCTTAAAACTAGGGTTATTTTATCATCAGTCCTGATATTCAGTTTTGAAACCAGGTTTATCTTAGCGCTTGTTTAAAATCTACGAGGTAAGCAGAAGTGACTAAAGAGATGTAGCTGTGCTGTTAAGCAGAAAAGTAGGGTTTTAGTAACAATTTTCACAGTGTGGTGGTACTCAATACAATGCAAATTCATAGTTTATCCTTCTCACAAGCCATTCGGAGTGTATGGACAGATGTTTTCTTCTTCCCGCTTGTTTTTATTATTCTTTTATCAGAGCTCTATTGGCGCCAAGCCTTATCTTGATGTTAACACCTAAGAAGTGGCGTTGTTAGCAAATTTGTTGATGTGGTTAGGCCGCAATAGACATTAGGTCTAGCAAGTGGCAATCTCTATGTCCTTATTCTTCTAAGGTTTTGCTCCTTAGAACTTATGAATGCAGGACAGAAAATGTTGGTGGATATGAAGAAACTGGTTTTTCTACTGTTCTGGTTAGGTTTGAAGCTTAAAGGAAGGGATGATATTAGATTCATATGTGAGCTATATGCTCAATCTATGCTACAAGCACTGAGGATAAGGTATCAGGTTGATAGGGTGTTTGGAATGTAGTATCTTTAAAGATAAGTGAGTGGTGCTAAGGTACTCTTTAGCGTGAAACCATTTCATGACAATACTGATTTCACCTTGAGATCTTGTATATGATAACCAGAATCGTTTTCAATATGTCCTTTATCCCTTACTGTTGTAATTCTCAAATTCGTACCAGTAAAGTACACTACTCCATAGCAGAATAAAAGTTTGGCGCCGATTAATCTCTGGAGGATGCCCTGGGATTTGACTTTATGCATATCTGGCCTTTACGATGACTCGTGGTGGCTTACCGATGTATCGAGTCAGTA